GAGGCTATATATTTCTAAACAGAGGGTTGTTGTTGTTCAGCTACTAAGTCATGTCCAACTCTTTGGGACCCTATGGACTGCAGCCCACCAGACTTCCCTGTCCTTCACAATCTCCCAGAGCTTGCTCAAACTCATATCCATTGAGTCAGTGAGGCCATCCAACCATTTCATCCTCTGTCATTACCTTCTCCTCCTGCCCTCAATCTTTGCTAGCAGCAGGGTCTTTTCTAGTGCTCATCAGGTGGCCAAAGTACTGGGGCTTCAGTTTCAGTATCAGTTCTTCCAGTGAATATTCAGGACTGATTTCCTTTGGGATTGACTGGTTTGATTTTTCTTGCAGTCCAAGGGACTCTGAAGAATCTTCTTCAGCACCACAGTTCAAAAGCATCAGTTCTTCGGTGCTTAGTTTTCTTTATGATATAATGCTCATATCCATGCCCCACTACTGGAAAAACCATAGCTTTGACCAGATGGTTCTTTGCCGCAAAGTAATGTTTTAATATGCTGTCTAGTTTTGTCACAGCTTTTCTTCCAGGGAGCAAGTGACTTTTACTTTCATTGCTGCAGTCACTGGACACTGATTTTGGAGACCAAGAAAATAAACCATTTTCATTTTTTCCCATCTATTTGCCATAAAGTGATGGAACTGGATTCCATAATCTTCATTTTTTTAATGTTGAGTTTTAAGCCAGCTTTTTCGCTCTCCTTTCACCTACATCAAGAGGCTCTTTAGTTCTTTGCTTTCTGCCTTTAGGGTGGTATCATCTGCATATCTGAGGTAGTTGATATTTCTCTGGGCAATCTTGATTCCAGCTGGTGACTAATCCAGCCCAATATTTTGCATGATGTACTCTATAGATAAGTTAAATAAGCAGGGTGACAATATACATCCTTGATATACTCCTTTCCCGATTTGAACCAGTCTGTTGTTCCATGTCCAGTTCTGACTGTTGCTTCTTAACCTGCATACAGGTTTCTCAGGAGGCAAGTAAGGTGGTCTGATATTCCTTTTCTTTAAGATTTTTCTGCAGCTTGTTGTGATTCGCACAGTCAAAGGCTTTAGTGTAGTCAATGAGGCAGATTGTTTTTTGGAACTCTCTTGCTTTTCCTATGATCCAGTGGATATTGGCAATTTGATCTCTGGTTCCTCTGCCTTTTCTAAATCCAGTTTGTACATCTGGAAGCTCTTGGTTCACGTACTTTTGAAGGCTAGCTTGAAAGATTTTGAGTATTACCTTGCCAGCATGTAAAATGAGTACACTTGTGCAGTTGTTTGATCATTCTTTGGCATTGCCCTTCTTTGGGACTGGAATGAAAACTGACCTTTTCCAGTCGTGTATCCACAGCTGAGTTTTCCAAATTTGCTGGCATATTGAGTGCAGCACAACAATCTTTTAGGACTTTCAATAGTTCAGCTGGAATTCCACCACCTCCACTAGCTTTGTTCATAGTAATGCTTCCTAAGGCTCACTTGACTTCACACTCCAGGGTGTCTAGGTTTGTAACCACACCATCGTAGTTATCGGTGTCATTAAAACCTTTTTTTGTATGTTTTCCCATGTATTCTTGCAACGTCTTCTTAATCTCTTCTGTTTCTGTTAGATCCTTACCATTTCTGTCCTTTATTGTGCCCATCTTGCATGAAACAGAGTGTAGGTTTTTCTTTTTTTAGGAGAGAGAAGAGTCCTGTCCATATGATGTGGAGAGAAGTTAAAAGAGGTTACTCTCTTAACCAGTCATACCTGGGTTTTCCCTCTCAGGATACTTCAAATCTATGATCTTAGAACCAGCTGCAGTTGGTATATTTCAGGTAGTTGTGAAACAGAACACAACTACTTACCCCAGCTCTCACAGATTTTCAAGGTGGTGAGATCTAAACTTCCTAGCTGTATTGTCCATGGATGAGACTGAATTCAAATGCCAGTTTCCTCATCTGTAAAGTGGAGATAATGTTCATTGCAAGAGGATTCTATGAGATATTACATTTGAAGAGTATGGCATCATGTCTGGCATATAATGGACCATCTGCTCTCTTTGTCCTTTGATATATGTGGGTGCACTCTATCTCAGAGGGTCACAATTTAGGAAATCTGGTACAAGCCTTCTCTATTAGCATATGAAATAGAAAAAAATAGGAAGATAAAATGATTAGCATAGAGAAAGACACTGAATAGTTACCAAATAACAAATTGAGGTATGCAGTATAATGCTCTTTGAATAGAAGCTTCCACTCTTGAGTAAAAAGCCTCTGGTGCTAAAAGTAGTTTAGTGTTCAGTGTTGCAAAATCAATGGTGCAAGTTTTGCTTAGATTAAAAAATACATAGTCATTTTGTCTAAATCTTATAAACAACATTGTTTATTCTAATTGAAATGTGTGCTATATTTTTGATGAATTAAACAGAAACACTGGAATTTAATCTCTAGCTATTAACATCACTTCAAAACTATTAAACTGCATTTTCACACTGTTAACACTGAAAAATAAAAATCCATAGTAAAAGCAAATTTGCCATTAATCAAGGATCATTCTTCTTAAAGTAAGACTTTACTAGATATCTAGCAAATTTTAAGTCTAGTAAGTAAGTTTTAGTGGATTTTTATCTTTGATGAATTTTACAACTATGCATTGTTTTTAAAATATTTTGGCCCATTGATGTTTATATTTTCATTTTATCACCCTTTACACACTTTCCTTTTATGCAGATATATCTACTCTTATCACCTCTTTATGTATTTCTTTTCATATTACATATTTCATTATCACATTTATTCTTTTTCATAGTGATAAGGTTTAAAAACATTCCCCTTCCTTTCACAGGCACAGTTCTTTCTCCTAGAAATATCTGAGTTGATCTCTTACCATTTTAAAATACTCCAGTTTATACTTAAAGTTGACATTATGAGTATGTCTATAAAATATTAAAGTAAAAAGAAGAAAAAATACAAAAATTTGACTTAGATTTTTTAACAAGTTATTTGTTTTTTATGTAGCCATATCCTTTCTAACTAAAGAAATAAAGGCTGAACTAGAAAAAGAAGCCCCCTTCCCTTAAAAAAAGATATATACATATCTAATGTATGTATACACACACACATAAAGATTTTCTTTATAAAGTACGGTCACTTCTAATGTATTCTTAAAATCCTAAAATATGCAGTGACCCAGGCCTTGTGCTAGGTGATTTACATACTTTTTTTGTAATTAGTGTAGTAACTCTGGAAGGTAGGTTTAGGATTATCACCAGGAAAATAAAGTAATTTTGCCTAAGGACACAAAAGTAAGAGATCAGGATATTAACCCAGGTCTTTCTATCTCCAAAGTCCGTATACTCTCCCTGAAGCCAGCACCTACCTGTTTTTTCCCCTAAAGAAACTTAAAGTAGATGACTCTGTTGTTCAGTCATCCAGTTGTGTTTCTTTGCAACCCCATGAACTACAGGACGCCAGGCCTTCCTGTCCCTCACCATCTCGCAGAGTTTGCCTAAGTTCATGTCCATTGCATCGGTGATGCCATCCAGCCATCTCAATCTTCTTATGCCCTTTTCTCCTTCTGCCCTCAGTCTTTCCCAGCATCAGGGACTTTTCCAATGAGCTAGTTGTTTGCACCAGGTGACCAAAATACTGGAGCTCCAGCTTCAGCACCAGTCCTTCCAACGAGTATTTAGGATTGATTTCCCTTAAGATTTACGGGTTTGATCTCCTTGCTGCCCAAGGGACTTTTCAGGGGTCTGCTCCAGCACCACAGTTCGAAGGCACCAACCCCTTGGTGCCCTGCCTTCTTTATGGTCCAGCTTTCCATAACTGTAGTGACCACGGGAAGGCCGTAGCCATGACTACACAGATCTTTGTTGGCAGAATAATGTGTCTGCTTTTAATACACTGTCTGGGTTTGTCAATTCTTTCCTGCCAAGAAGCAATGGTTTTCTGAACATGGCTGCAGTCACCATCCACTGTGATCCTAGAGTCCAAGCAAAGGAAAGCTATCACTACTTCCGCCTTTTCCGCTTCTATCTGTCATGATGACTCTAAGGAGTTACTACACTGCATCTTGGTTAAGTCAGAGACACTCAGTTTTAATGTTTCAGTTGTTGCTGTGCTTCTCACATATTATTCAGGGAGCTATTTTTATCAGCTGCAGAATCACATACTTATAATCAATTTATGTGATTACTTGTGATTTAGTGTCTCAAATGTAGGCTTTCTAATATGGTCATCAATTTAAATTACTATTCACGCTTTCTGTAACTAGCACAAATAAATAGATTGCTCTCTCAAAATAAGACTTAGGACTATTTTTCTGATTAGCTATAGCCATTTGTATATGGCTTATTTTAAGGAGATTTGACAACAAATTTATTGGACATACATTTACGAAAATATTATTATTTTGTAGAACTATTCCCTTTATATGAGAATACATTGAAGATTTTTTTTTAAATTACATCAGTATTCTCTTTTGACTAGAGCTACTGTGTTAAATGAGATTAACTGTAAATCCTTGGTGGCGTTCATTTCAGAGAGTGCTTCTGTAAGAAAGACTGACAGCTTGCCTTACTGGAGTAAAGAAGCAGATGTAAATATACCTTTGCACGCATGCTAAGTTGCTTCAGTTGTGTCTGACTCTTTGCAACCCTATAGACTGTAGCTCACCAGGCTCCTCTGTTCATGGGATTCTTTAGGCAAGAACACTGGAGTGGGTTGCCATGCCCTCCTCCAGGGGATCTTTCTGACCCAGGATCAAACCCACATCTCTTATATCTTCTGAACTGGTAGATGGGTTCTTTACTACTAGTGCCACCTGGGGAGCCCAAATATACATTTATGCATTTAGTTGCAAAACCAAAGAGGTTACAGTAATTTGACAGAAAAATCTGGATACACTTATTTTACTCTTCTTCCAGAAGAAATTTAAGCAAAATAACTTGTTTGTGGCCAGATGGAGGCCTCCAACACTGTGAGACTGAAACAGAATGGACAGAAAAACTCAGTGCATTGAAAATAGAATAGAAAATATGATTCATTTATTTTGTGGAAAAACAGGATGTCTTGAAAGCTGAGAAGGAAAGAAAAAGTCCTTTGCTTGATATTTCAGGTTCTCTTTGCCAGTTGTTTCACAGTCTCCTGACTCACCTGCTTAAATGTTCAGAAAATGGTGTTTCATATGCCGAACAATCTCCCGATCATCCCTGCTCTTAAACAGTCCTGACAGCTTTAAGACTGTAATTCTGGAAACAGGAGCCTGATATAATGCATCTGCACATGCTCTCCATTATTTCCTCCTGAAGAAAACAATAGATGGGTAAGGTTACACTGTAATGGACTCCATTTTCAGATGTAATTTGGTAGACTATAAAAGAAAAAAGAAAATATTTAAAATGAGAAGAGCAAGTATAATTCCTATTAAAAAGTGTTTGAGTAGCTGATTACACATACATGCATAACTGCAGACCTGAATATTTGTTTCAATACACCTGAGTCTTGGAAATTGAAAAGAAACATCAGTATTTAAGTTACCATCTTCATCATAGATGTTTTGGTTTGTGGACTTACTATTAATATGTTCCAGTCTTCCAATATCTTTTTTTAGATGAAATTACATGGAGTATTTTTCATTGGCATGATAAAGGAAGAATTAAGCACTAAGAGAATTAAAAATATATCTCTTGAGTGCCTGAATAGTTGATTGGCCCCAGATAAACTTGTTGATACTCTTAGTAATTTCCTGTATTTCAGGAGGAATTGAATCTATTTGCATATTTACATTATTAGCATAAGTATAATCTAAATATTCTGACCAAAACATGTGGCACTTGGCTGATAAAGAAATCTGAAAATCATTTCATAGGATGAACAAATAAAATAATTGAAACTTTTAACCTGGAAAGAATATTTAGCAGTATTCTAAGTGCTCGTATGGAGTATTTATCCATTCACTCAATTATTTATATAACAGACATCAAAAGCCCACTGCATGTTAGGACCTGTGCTAAATACAGAAGGAATTGCTGCACTATATAGCTAGTATGGTGGAAACAGTTTTTCTTTGTAACTGGAAGAAAGAACTGGGACTAATAGGCATTATAAACATTATAGAGATTACACTTGAATTTTGATTAAGGTAAAATTTTCTAAAAGCCAGAGATTTTATGAAAGTAAGTGGGCTATTTTGTGTTATAGAACCCTCTAGGAATGTTCTAGAGATAACCGTGTGCCAATTTGTAGGGAATATTTAATGTATACCATTATATATATTAATATAGGACTTCCCTGGTAACTCAGAGGGTAAAGAATCTGCCTGCAGTGTGGGAGACCCAGGTTCAATCCTTGCGTCAGGAAGATCCCCTGGAGAAGGGAATGGCTACCCACTCCAGTATTCTTGCCTGGAGAATTCCATGGACAGAGAAGCCTGGTGGGCTGCAGTCCATGGGGTCACAAAGAGTCGGACACGACTGAGTGACTTTCACTGTCACATACATTAATATGGTGAAACTTCCTATGCTTCCTCTCAACTCAATGATTTCTTTTCAAAATCACATGTAATTTATTATTAGCCAGAGTTAACTCAGAGTTAACCTTGGCCTACAAAAAAAGGCTAAACTAGGTGTCAGGCACTTTTCAGAGAAGGAAGTCTACTAGTTGTATTCCTAGTTAGTTGTATTCCTGTCACAAGTGCCTTAGAAAGCAGAGGGGTAATCTTGTGCAGCTGTTTTTTGTCACCTCACTGGTTTTTAGACTAGTGAAACAGGCCACTAAAGGAACTATGAAAACCTATCTCCATCCCATGGCCCAGCCATTTGTGTGTGAGGTTAATCACCAGATCCTGTCCTTCTTTTGATGTCTTGGAGGGTGAGGGTGGTTGTGGCCTCCAAGATCTGTCAGCTTCAACATCCATGTGACTTCATAGTTTACCATAGAACTTTGGGCTCAGAACTTCATTGAAGAACTCCCTTTCTTGAGATCATATTAAATTTACAATCTTATAGTTTTAAAATGGGAGGGGTTCAGTTACCTTTCCTAGAAACAGAATGGGATCCGGATCAGAACACTTGAAATAAGAAATCTCTGAGGTTATACTTTTTCCCTTAATAGTCACATGTTCTATGTTGTCCATAAATTGATTCATACTTTAAAAAAAAAAATCTGATCTAGAAATAACTGCAGTTCGGGCCAGTTTTGTACCTGAGCACTTATCAGTTAAGAGACTCTGTGACTCTGAAGGTCTAAAATGACAAATATAGTTTGTCTGTATTGCATTCTGTTTGTCTGTGTGCATTCTCTTTGATTTTCATTACAGTTGAAAGTTTTCCAAAGTAGGCTTTTTTGGTTTTTATTCTCCAGCACTTTTCTCCACTTTAAGGATTTCTCAGTATCACAGAGTTGAGTCTGGGACAGATGGCTGATTAAGTGAAAAGATGGAAGTAAAATTTCTTTTGGATTTCTCCTGGTGAGCAGGTACCTGAAAGTACATAAAGTCCTGTCCTTTAGTGACCATATGATTCGCTGTCCCGCCTACATTACACAGCATCTTGAAAATTCATATTGGTGAACTTATTTCTTAAAGATTTCTTCAATGAAAAATGAATGAATGAAATGCAAATGAGGAAATAAGTCCTATCATCTTCCTGAAGCTGTCTGAGCAGTTAACAGCATGTGTCCACATGTTGGCCAAACAAGGGCCACTGTTGTACTTTCTCTTGTATCGGGTGTGCAAGGCAGTGCTCAGAGGAGCATTGGGACTTCAGAGGAGAGTGGCTGGCCCAGACGGGGCAAGTGGCATCCATGAAAGCGTTAGTGTGGTAAGCTTCTCAGCAAGGTCTCTTCTTCCCTGGTGACTTTCCTGGTATTTACACACAAAAAGCCATGGTGCTGAATTATAAGATAAAAAGAATTGGTCTCTAACCCTCAAATTATTTTTCTTTTGCAGTGTCTGGTTCACTTAGTATAACTTGCTTTTTGAATTATTTAATTCAACTCTAATTATTATCAACTCTAATTGAGAACTGGTTATGCGGAATCATCTGGGAGAGGGTGTGTGTGTGTGTGTGATTGTTTTGGAAGAGGGATGGATGCTCCTAAATCATGGACTAAAACCTGAAAATTTATCCTAAGTGAATATAAGCAAATCTTCAGATCTGTTACAGTGGCCATACTAATCTTCAGAAATAGTCTGCCGCTTATGGGCATTGCATTGCAGATTCTGAAAGCTTGGCTTCTGTCCTCAAGAGGTCTTAGGCTGGTAAAAATCCAGAGATAAAGATAGTTAAATGGCCCCACTTGGTGAGAGGAGAGGATGGTATGTGAAGTTAATAGTGGAGAGGCTGCTAAATACAGTGTCTGCTGACTGTTTTCACAAACCACAAAATGCTCTTTAAGTTCTTCAAACCAAATTACTTCAACCACTAGATAAGGTTTCAATGCATGATATTATTATTCTGCAGTCTTTTTTTCCCCCTTCCAAGTTAATGTCTTTGTTTTGATTTTGGCTGGGGAATTCCTTTGTTGGTCAGCAGCAACATTTCCATTAACTCACATAAAATCCCTATCTCACAATGCTTGCCAGTTTTCTCCCTGCACAACAGGATTGATAACATTAGCAGTGTTGCATGAAATATCTAAAATTAAAAGTATGTTTCCCACAGCTTCTGACCACTGGATTGAGAATAGCTTTGATATTATTTACAACTTTCCTAATCAATGAACTTAGAAATATTTTTATTTTGCCTAGGAACTAAATCTTTATGATATTAGAAATTGTTTATAGGTTTTTAAAAATAAAGGGGTACCAGAGTTCCTTCAGAGATTATTTTTGATCTTGTGAAAAACCAGTTTGCCTGTTTTAGTTGCCCAGGACAGTGGTCAGTGAGGCCTGTATGGCATCCCCCTTCAATTCCTAATGGCAGGGAGTTACCCAATAGGCTTCGGGAGTCTAATCCAGCAATCCAGTCAGTCAGCAATTCAAGAAGCCAATATATTTACTAACTACCTAGCAGATGTGAAGCAAATAGGACTTCCCTGATAGTTCAGTTGGTAAAAAATCCAACTGTAATGCAGGAGACCCTGATTCGATTCCTGGGTTGGGAAACTCTGCTGGAGAAGGGATAGGCTACCCACTCCAGGATTCTTGGACTTTCCTTGAGGTTCAGCTGGTAAAGAATCTGCCCGCAATGCAGGAGACTTTGGTTCTATCCCTGGGTTGGGAAGATCCCCTGGGGAAAGGAAAAGCTACCCACTCCAGAATTCTGGCCTGGAGAATCCCATGGACTACAGTCCATGGGGTCTCAAAGAGTCGGACTTGTCTGAGCACCTTTCACTTGTGAAGCAAATTGGTCCCCATAGATAATGTGGCAATGATTAAATGGGCAACTGAATTACTATCTCACAGTTTAAATAAACTAGAGAAATTATTCTGTTAGTGAGATGATTAGGAACCTCCGCTTACTGAGCATTTCACCATGTATCACTCCACTATTCTTGCCTGGGAAATGCCATGGACAGAGGAGCCTGATGCGAACAGTGCATGGAGTTGCAAAGTGTTGGGCAGACTTAGTGATGAAACAACAAATAAAACCATGTATCACATTTTACCATGTATGAGTCATGGGCTAAGTACTTCATAGGCACAATCTTTTAAATTACTGACAACAACCCAGAGAGATCAAAATTTTTAAAATAATTTTACAGATTTTTGGGCATCTTTAATCAATTTTTCCAAGGGTATATTGTCATTGGTGGAAGAGTCAAGATTTAAATCAGACTCTGGGCTTCCCTCGTGGCTCAAATGGTAAAGAATCTACCTGCAATGCAGGAGACCCAGGTTCGATTCCTGGGTTGGGAAGATCCCCTGGAGTAGGAAATGGCAACTCACTCCAGTATTCTTTCCTGCAAAGTCCCATGGACAGAGGAGCCTGGCAGGCTACAGTCTAGGGGGTCAGAGAGTTGGACATGACTGAGCAACTAACGCGACACTGAAGGCTATACTCTGAACCATTACTTCGTGCAATTTAATTGAACCCTGGTCACCCAGACTTTGGGAAGAATGGAAAAGAATAAACTTCTTTGCACTTGAACCATTTTGTGATTCAAAGGAACCCAAAGAGAGATGCATACTTGTTCTATGCAGTATCTGTATGAGAACCTCATAGCTCCTAAAAAGAACTCCATTCAATCCACATGCAACTTTTTCTTTCTCAAGAGCACAGAAACACCGATGAGGTCCCATTTAAACCGTGCCCTGTGATAACAACGGCAATAATAAGCCTAAAGAGCCCAAACAGCACTTCTGTCAGGCACTGTTTTAAGTGCTTTCTATGCAGTGACTCATTTCCATCTTCACAACAACCCCATGAGGGAAATTCTCATTTTCTGGGGCCAGAGATTAGGTGGGGCTTGGGAGGTGATTTTTTCTACTCAAATATACATATAAATGCTTCCTACTATATTCTCTTTTTAATGATTCACGGTTCACATGAGCCTAGTAAAGGCTCTGAGAATCTCTACAGCAAAGAAGCTTTTCTTTCTTCTAGTCAGGGTATTCAAAATTTATTTTATTATTCACTCCTATTGCCACTAACACCTATTAACGTGCTACCGAACACAGATCAAGGATTGCTGTTACAGATTTCAGTCGCAGCCTGAATGCAGAACCAAGCCCATGGACAAACCTTAATGGCTGGGAGGTGTGGAGTGGAGCAGCAGGGGGAGAGGGGTATTACTCCAGCAATTCTGCAGACCACACCAGAGACCCTGGGCTGGGGGAGCAAAGCCACGTCCCATGTGCCAATCAGAGTTGTCTGCCAGTGCAGAGCTACGTAGAGGGAAAGTCTGGCATTAACTGTAGGTCAGCACTTAACCCAAACCTTTTAGCATCTCTGCTTATTTCCTAATGCAAATCTCTCATTGAATGATCCGGTGATTGCATGGCTTAAGGCAGATGACGAGCACTATGAATGTAACTGATGATAATAGGATAAATCTGTTCAAGCAGAGATACTCTTGGTACATTTACATGTGACAGTGGTTGGTATTTCACAACCTGCTGCTTAACTCAGGCCTCTGAGGGAAGGCTTTAGCAATATTTGACCTAGCTTCAAAATCTGGTCACGTTTCTGGCTCCATGGGATCACTTAAGAGTTTAGCATTAGGATAGAGAGAAAGTGGAGCAGTTCAAGGTTGGCCATGGAAACAACTGAAGTTCGAAGATCCAAGTGGCAAATAAGTGAGGGAATGGACTCTTGCTGGAGCTCAGGGTTTGAAGTTGAGGATATAGAATGAATGGTTACAAAGGCTTCAAAAGTTTGAACCCCAATGAGGAACCTCACTGATGGGTGGGATTTGGAAAAATTCAGAAGAAAAGTAGTATTCTGATGTGCACATGTGTGTATGTGCATCTGCATATGTGTGTATTGGAGGCCCGAAGAAAATGAGTTAGTATGGGAAAAAGTACTGTTGTAAATTGAGCCTGTGTTCTGAAGATTGCAATAACTTGATCTGGCTGCATGGAAATGCTCATAGGAAACTTTTGAAAAGTAGTTTAAATTCAAGTGATGGAGTTCTTTGAAGGCCAGGCCAAGGATTGGACTTGTGTTGGTAGGGAATAGGGAGCCCTGAAGGTTCTTGAACAGTGGGATGACAGAAGTGGTATCTTAGGAAGACTAACCCAGCAATGCCAGGTGGGATAACAAAAGTACTACACGTTTTAATTGCTGACTCACTTATTCTTAAAAACATCATCTTAGAAAATGACATTAGGACTGTATGAATCTCAATATTCAATTTTACAAAATTCTGGAAACAAAAAAGGAAACAAATTGGATTATAGGAAATTAATATTTTAGGTAATAGTTTTAGTTTACACACAGTTAGTACTGTTAATGGATCAATACTGTTATAGATAATAATACTATTATCTATAACAAATGAAGCCAGGTTTTT